ATTTTTGTATGTATTTTTTATTTTCTTAGTTTTTTACGTACTTAGTAATTTGTTTTATTCTTAGTTCATAATGATGGGAGTGATTTTGTTAAAATTATTATTATTTTCTTTATTACTTAATATTATATCGTAAATGTACGTACAGAATATGAATATATTTTGAATTAAGTTTTCGATTTTAATACAAATACATACAAGTATGTATATGTAATTATAATTTTAAATAATTATTACAAATTATTTCGTAATTTGTTTTTTTTTTTTATGTTTTATTAAATATTATTATTTTTTTTATATATGAATATTGTAATATTTATGTATTTAGTTTTTATCACAGCACTTTCAATAAAAATATTATTGTGCAAATATGTAATATTTTTTTGTGTTTTATTTTTCTTTTTACAATTAATTATTTTTTAATTTTATTTTATATTATTCAATATTATCACTTATCATTAAATATATAACTATACTTTATATATGGATGTAGTTTGATATAAATTTATTTCTTGCCGAATAGGGAATGAAGGGCGTTGGGTAATACAACTGGTAATAATTAAAATTTAAATCAATGAATACCCAATATGTAATTTTGTCGCACCATAAATTTAAAATAAACCTATACAAGATAATGTTGAATAAATTATTTATTGACTTGAAGTTTCTTCATTAAATTTTTGAATACAAGGAAATTATTTAATAATTTTTCAATTCCAAATAGCATATTTAAATTGAATAAAATTGGAAAATTTTAATAAAATAAATTTTATAACTGTAATTCGTTATATTAAATTTGTTTTAATAATAACAATTGTTTTAAGAAATGAAAAAAAATATATATTAACGGTTCTCATTATACAAAATTTAGAATGTTGAATTTTTATAAATAATTTAACAGAGATTGTATTAAAATAAGTGCAGTGAGTTAATTTTTTTCACCTATTCTAACAATACATTGACAATTAGAACGAATCCAAAGTATATGTATATAAGTGATTAATTTCAAAATTAATTAAACTCCACGTATATACATAGAGGATTTTGAAATTTTTAAAATAGTATACCCAACATGAATTTGTTTCTTTATATTAAGTAATTGATTTTAGTTATTTCAATTAATTATTCTATACAATTTTTAAAATTTTAGTTAAATTTTGATTTAAAATGGTTTAATGCAATTTTCATTGAAATTTTATTCTTATTCTTTTAATTCTACATTTGCTTCTTAATATTTATATTTTTTTTTTGTTTATGGTCCTATGATTTTTGATAAATAACAGTTTATTTAAAATTGTTTTTTTTTTCTGTTTCTTTTTAATTAAATTTAATATAACTAGTAATTATCTACGTATTTTTGCTTTTTGAAATTTTAGCATTTTTTTTTTTTTGTTTTCAGGTCATTTTAGGTTATAGTTTTAATTTACTTTTATATAATATTATATAATTTAATTAAAATAAGAACGTATTTTTATGATTGATTGCTATGATAAGGCCTTAAATGTGAACAAAACAAATTATTTTTTATATTTCTATATACACTGATTTTTTTTTTATTACACATACAGTAACTTTTCTTTTCATTTTAAATTAAATTTAACTTTCAACAAAATAAATATAGGCTTAATTTAAAAATTTTATTAAATTATTACAAAATACAAAATGATAAGTTGTAGAAACTTTAAAATATAAATCTACTAAAATTATTTAAGTGATACACGACTAAAAAAAAAAACAAACAAATTTTCTGTTAAGAGAAATGATTAGGAGAAATTATGTACTTTTTCGACACTTCCAATTTTTCAAATTCTTCCATTTCCAAAATTACAACATTTTCATCTCATCAGAGTGTCCTTCGCACACTATAGATTCTTACTCTAAGTCTTAATAGATTTAACTTCTGAACTAAAAAATAAAAATTTCCTAATGTCTAATTTTATGAAATCTGTCAACGTTCATCTTTTAAAGAAATCCGTCAATTGTCATCTTTCAAATTTGTCGAAAAAAAACACTGTCAAACTCAGACATTATTATTTTTAATGTATTTCATTTAAATTTTGTTTTATTATTTGGTTTTCGTAAATTATTTAATCAGTGTATCATTTTTAAACAGATAGAAAACCACATAATTTATATACATATATACATACATATATGTATAATATATGTGTAGGTATGTAAATAATGTTTACTCTTTTTTATCTACAATATATTTTTTAGGCTTTTTTGTTTAATTTCATAAAATTTTTTTTTTAATATACAAGATGACAATATTGTATTTTATAATATAAAATGTGCTAAAAAAGAAACAAAACTATTCTTTAATTTATTATTTTATTTTAATTTATAATTTCTTATAATGTTGCATTTCTTTTATTTATGTAATTTTTTTCTAAAAATGCTAAGTTTTTTAATTTGATATTTTTTAATACGATTTTAAAATTTTATTATTATTGTATTTCTAATAAAGTATGGCAATTTCGGTTTTGTTGTTTTTTTTTTTTCTTTTCTTTTATATATGATATGATTGCTTCTAATATTATTTATTTTAATTTGATTTTCTATTTTGTATATTATCAGAATGAATAAATAATGAAATTATAATAATTATTTTTTTAATTTTATGGCAATTTAATATTTGCAGTTTCTTTTTAGTTTTAATATGCATGCACTTGGTTTTAATGCTCGATTGATTTTATTTTTTTAATTACAAAATGTCTTTAAGTTTAATTTTTAATTTGTTTTAATTTACATTTAATTTGATTTATCGAAACTAAGCTATTCTATATTTTCATCATAAAAATTATGTAAAATTATGTTGATTACTTGTGATTAGAAGAAAATTTTGATTTTATAATACAGGATGTCCTATACATATTTTAAAGAGATACATACTGAAGTAGATGATTGTTAAATAATGTTTTTTTTAATTTTTCCAAAACGAGTTTTTAAAATTAAAATAATTTCGATATTTTTTTCTTTAGTTTATTTTGCTTTGGTTTTCTGTTTACTTATTGTATTTATTTATAAATAATTTTATATTAATTTATCTATTATTTCTTGACTTTTTCAAGATTTTGAACAAATTTCGTGTTTAAGATTCATACGAGTTTATAATACGATTTGCCATATTGCGACATAATTTGCAAAATTAAAATTAAATAATGTTTTGAGAATTAAAAAATTAAGATTCATTTTATAATATAGGAATTAGGGTATTGAACGTGTTTTACATTAAGACCTAAGTTAGAACTGAATTATCGAAAATCCCATATTTTACATGAAAGCAATATAAATATGATTTATTATTTTATTCATGCTATATTTACAAAAACAGTATTAGAATTAAATCAAATATGTATGAAAAATTTTTGTAAAATTTCATACTATTGGAAAATTATGAAAAAATTTAATGAAACGGAAAATTTTTTTATAATTTCACTATTTTTCAATTATAGAATTCAGAAATTTTTAATCATATATATCAAATTTATTGAGAAAACTACTTTTGTACATACTAATACATAATATTAGATTTTTTATTTCATTTACTTTAAATAAAATAAATGTTGTATATTTAAAAATTTTATTTTTTTCTTTTCTTGAAAGCCTTTCTTTATTTTAAATTTTTAGCATTTTATAGTTATGCGCTTTAAATAATCAAGCAATATTATATAATTAGTATTAATTTTTTTTTTGGTTTTTTTTCTATAAATATAAATTTTGAATTTTTAAAAGTTGTAATTTTAATTAATTGATTTGATTTTTATATAATATATAAGATTTTAATTCAATCACTCGTTTTTGGTTCAAAAATTTTTTAAATTGTTCGGTATATGCTGGTATGCATATAGATTACCAATTTAATTATAATTATACAAGTATTTTATTAAAAATTCAATGAAACAAAAATTCAAAAAAGGAAATTTTTAATTATATAAAATAGAAAAATATCTTTAATAACAAAATTAATGTAAGAAATTCAAAAATTAAAATTAAAATAATTTTTTGTGTTTTATGTAATAATTATAATGGTTTTATTTGAATATAATTATCACCTATAACAGGGCACTATATTTGGTATTATAAAATATATATATTATACGCATATATATATATATATATATATATAAAATAATTATAATAAATTTTTCAAATGTGTCTACATATAATAAAATGTATGTTTATATGATTTTTATTTCGTTTACGCTTTATTGTTTACATACAAGTATGTATATATTGGCATACATATTATTATGTTTAAATAATTATATACATATTTATACATTAAATTAAAGTGATAAGAACATTTTAATCATTCTTTCAAAAGCAAAATAAATAAAAATTAATTTCAATAAAAAATTCCAACTCAAATTCTAATCTAACTCATTAAATTTTAGAAAAAAAAAAACGTAAAATTTTACATTAAATTTTAACCCTGCATCTTCTATTCATGCCATGAAAATATTTTCACTCCACACAAGAGAAAAATACAAAATAACATACATGCCTAATATCAAGAAATTTAAAAATAATTAAATAAAAAAAATATTTAAATTTCTATTCTAAAAACAATAAACGAAAAAAATTAAACAAACATAGGTAAATTAATGAAAAAATTAAAAATATTTGAAATTATTTATAGAAAAAAATTATTTAAAAATTTTGTTTTCAATGCTCGATTTATCTAAAGAAATTTTAGTTATTTTTTTGCTTTTAACTTAAACTACATTTTATTATGAATTGTATTTTATATATGCAAACATGTTAAGCAATTGATTTTAGTTTTTATTTTGTTTTTTTAATTTATTAATATAACTAGTTTAAGGTATTTGTAATATTTAATTTATATTTTTCATATATATTTAATTTTCTACTTAATTTTTTTGTTACAAAATAAGGTACGAAAATATTTTTTTTTAGAAAAATACTTTTTTTTATTTCATTCAAAAATTTTCTATTTTCTATTCTCTTAACTAATTACTGTATTCATTTAATTTTTCCTTTTTTTTTTAATTTTTTTATATTTTTTTTTTATAAAATGATTGAATATTTTAACTTAATTAATAATAAGAAAATATTTAAAATTAATTATAAATTTTTATATAAGTATACATAAATTTTTTTTAAATTAATTATCGAATAAACAAAAATTTACTTATGCGTTGTTTTCTCTTTTTATACATACAAAATGTTTTAAATTTATGATAATTTAAAAAAAAATAAAATATAAAATATTTTATATGCCTATATTATTAACATTTTAAATAAAAAATAAATAAATAAAATTAGAACACTCTTAGCACAAAAAAAGGAAAATCTTTTAAAATGCTTGTATTGGTCGGTACAATCCTGTATAACCGCATAAGCGAGCACGTAAAGCTGGTATAAGGAATGCAGCTGCTGATATATCTTTAAGCAAATCCGAACATTCACAAATTAACAGATACATTTTATCACCTTTCTGTGAAATACTTTTATGTAATGCAATACGTTTAAGGCCGGCTGTACGTGGTAAATATCTAAAAATATTAAAAAAAGACAAAAATTAAATTATAAGATTTTGTAATATTTGTCACATAAGTCATTTATAATATATAAGTATATGTTTCATATAACATTTATTTATTTTACATGACATTTTTATACATTCATGAAATTTCTATACATCGATTTAGGAAAGTAGCAGAAGTTATTAAGAAATGTTATATTAAGAAAGATATTTAATTTAAACTTCTTAAAAATATTCGGAATTGTTGAAAGTAGTGGATTTTAAAGTGTAGCAGTCAAGTGTCCAAATCGGTTTATAAAATTTTGAAATTTTTTTATTCCTGGTGTTTTTTATACTATTTTATGATTGAAACCATTTTATGTTCAATGTAGATAGGTCTTGTAATTAAATTTTATATTATTGATAAATTAGATTAACCAAAAAGATAATTACATACAATTATATATAAAACGAACCTGTAAAGCATTCTGGCACCAGTCCAATATAACCAGTTCTTTTCGAAACGCTCCCCATCATCCCCCTCGAACACCTGAAAATTGAAAATATTTAGTTTATTATTCATAATCATAATTATAAACAAATTTCTTTAAATCACTGTACATATGTAATCTTATAATTGGTAATAAACTCATGATGATGGATAATAACAAATTAAAGAAATAAAGAATAGTTTGACGAATACCGAGAAGGAGAGCTGTCACTGTTAATTATGCTCAGGTCGCAATATATCTACGCTAAGAAATAAAACGTATTGCTTGTATATAAAATATATGAAAAGGGCAAATCTTTAAGTTTTAAGGAAGTAATTAGAAATTCTGCATTGAAAAGACTAAATATTACATTGATGCTTTCATACTCTCATATATTATGCTACAAAAGTCTATAAAATTCTTTGATTGAAATGATAATCCTAAAAGAATTTCGATTATTTATTATGTTTTATTCTTGTTTAGAAATTTCATTTTACATACATAAATCATATCAACGGTAAATATACCTACACAAATCCCCTATCACTTATATATGATTAAAGTGAAAATACATAGAAAATCACATGTAGATATGAATATTATGATAATTTCGATTAAAAATGCATATGTATAGCTACTCGAAAATTATAATCTTATAATACATATCATATAAGTATGCACATCACGTTCTTATTGTTTATTTTTAGAAACAATTTATAACAAAATAAGAAAATGTTGTGAATTTATTATACTAATAATAATACATAATAATGAATGTACACGTATCAATGTCAATAATTATAACTCAACCGGTTAGCGTAGCAATTACAGGCTTATTTCAATCGCTCTTGCTCTTACCTCTAAGTACAAAGTATTGGATTATAATATCTAACAGTCCGATTCGAATTACGGCCGGTTTTACCTACAGTACAGCATAGTTAAAAGTCAATGTATACATAGTCTATGATATAGAAGGGAAACATATTCAGCTTGACTATAGATGTGATTTTGTAAAATTATTTTCTTTGGCATATTATTAGTATTCATGGAAGAATAATTGCAGTAACAATAACAGCATATGATACATACGGCATCATTTTGAGATCCAAGACATTTGCTATGGGATTTGCGGAATTTATTGTTATTAACGAAGTGACAGATCAAAAGCAAAACGGCAGCGGAATATTATATTTCGTTAATATTTTAATAAAGTGATTTATGAAATGATTTCCTTGCCTATTGTTTCAGTAAATCTGTCGCCGAGTCTTAACAATAAATGTCTCTACTGTCAAGACATTTACTGTCAAGACATTTACTGTCGACACATTTACTGTCAAGGCAATTACTCTTAAGACATTTAGTGTTATATTTACTGTCGAGTAAATTTACTGTTAAGGTGTTCACTGTCACGACATTTACTGTCAATATATTTGCTATGAAGACATTTAATGTCGAGACATTTATTGTCAAAACATTTACCGTTAACACCGTTTAATCTGACAAACGCTTAATTTTCGTGTAGAATTGTATTTAAACTATGTTCTCGCAAAACTATTAAGCATAATTTAATTAGTTAAACCTGTTATATTTTGAATTCATGGTGGGGGTGATTATTCCTCCTGATACAATCAGGATTTAAAATATTTATTTTGAATATAGTTTCATATTATCATTACACTTGTAATCTAAGTTTTTGATAATAATCTGATAAGAAAAAAAAATCTATTTGAAGAATAATGAAGACAAACGAGACTATTCTTTTGATTAGTCTATTCCTAATAACTTTTTTGTAACAATATTCACTCTCTGTTTTTATTCAAAAATCACATTTTTATATGAAAAGGAAGTATTTTAAAGTATTGAAAAGAAAATGAGATGACAATTTAAAATAAATTTAAGCAAGTGATAAAAAATAAATTATTCTTATTTTGAGACATGCATTATCGATTTTAAATGCTTATTCTTTTACAATATTTCAACACATACACATATTATTTATAGAAACATATACATACATATAATACATACAATAATAACAAATGTTTAAAATGTTAAGAACATTTTTATCATTGTAGGTGTTGATGACACAATTTGAATTAAAATATTTAAGCATCTTGTACATTATTGTACTAAGTACAGATGTAAGTTTGTTGTATGTAAAGAATTAGATAGAAGAATTTTCGATAAAATAAATAAATGAAATGGATTTATTTCTTTTTCGATTAAATGTCAATCTAAATACTTCATTCTTATAATAATATATTAGAATATACATAAATCTTAAATTTAAACTAAGAAACATACACATAAGAGAATTTTCTTTATTTAAAAATTTAAAATATGCATTTTATTCATGAAAATTAAAACTTACTTTGTATACGCTTATTATGTAACCAGTTGATGGCGTTTGAGATTTCTTTAAATTCCCAATTTCATTTGGGGTCACACTTAAAGGAGGACGACCTTAAAAAAGTAAGAAAATATAATTAGTATAAAATTAATTAATTTCAACTATAAATGCATTAATTACAGTCACAGCTCAAAATTATGTGCCAATTCAATAGAGGAGAAGGTGTATCTTGACGTGTGAGGAAATTAGGAATCAGATATGTTGGCGAAACAAGCAGACAATTGCTATTTTGTTGACCTAAAGTCCTTTTGCGGGTTCCGACCAAACAAGATCCGTAAGGTACTAAGAAGCGAAGTAGAAAAGAAAAGGTTGGAACTAAAGAGGGAGTGCCCGGGTTTCAGCAAGCTTTTGGAAATTTACAATCGAGAGCCATTTAAGCAGAAATATGAAATTGAAAAAAGAAAACTAAAACGATTAAATACAGTACAACATAAATAAAAAGGGTTATTGTCCTATATGTGGGCTCTTTTAAAAATTTTGTGTGTCTAGTAGATCTAAGATCATTTTAATTATTTTATATATAATGAAGCCGACATCTACTATTCCAGTTAGAACAGCAGATGTGAGTATATTTTTTTTTTTATTTTTAGGACGAAAAACATTTTTTTATGAACAACATTGAAAACGGCCACGGTATATACTTACATATTGCTGCAACTTCACAATAAAGGTCTAAAGTATGAGCGGCAGTGTATCTGAAAAAAAAAAATTGAGAGAAATAATGTTAAAAAAAAGATAACCATAAATTTATTCTAACTTAATTAAACATTTTAAAAAATAAACAAAAAAAAGTACACGTTATATAAATTCAGAACCAAATAAATGGTGTAGCAGTCACATTGAAGTAATCTCGCAGTATTTTGACCTTTTACTTAACTAACATTTGTTGAAACAGTTTTGTTTTACCCACAATTTTTTAAAGTTAATTCAATATACTTATATTTAAAATATTGTTACGAGTATATATAATAAATGATTTCATATTAACTGACCTCAATTTTGCGGAAGGACATAACAATGATAAATTCTTTTCCTTTTTATTTTTTTATCTGTTTTCTTTCCTTACTTTTTTTCTTCCTATATAGTATAGGTTTAGCGAAACATTGCATTTTATTATTTTTTTATATATTCTGTATTTTTTTTTCTTTAATCTTTGAGAACAATATTAATAATTGGAAACTACAATTGCATATTTTTTGTTTTAAATTCTATTTTCGAAAAATGGTTTTCTTTTCTAAATACACACAGAATAGATATAAAATGACTCTTTCAGGATTAAGAGAATTAAAACGAAATTTTATATACATACATACATATACTATGTAATCAGAATAGTGATTTTATATTTTATGTTAAACTTTATTAACTTTTGAAATGATTGAATATTAAATTCATTGAGTATGCGATCGTTTTTATGTTCTTTATATACTTGATTTGGTTTTTCATTTTTTGTTGTTTTCACTTTTTATAATATAAAATGTTATATTGTCTGTTTCAAATGTGTGTGAGACCACAGAATATTTCGTGTTAGATAAAGGCAAAAACAAAAAAAGTGGTAATGCAAATCAATAAATAAAAAAGATTCTTAAATGGAAAGCGAATTCATGAACAATTTCAGTTAACTGTTATACGTTTTCCATATATGTATGTATTATATGAGAGAATTAGTGAAGCGGAAATTAAAACCGATAATTTTGTAATTGTAATAAAAATTTATTGTTATTAGAGCTATGTATCTCGAATTGTATGCAGGTTTATCGGTTTTGATTAAAAAACACTAACAAATTTTTTAAACCACCTTTTTCATTAGGTAGATAATGTATGTACGTATGTACGCTCATGTAGGAAATGAAAGAAAAAAACAAAATTCATTTTCATTTTTCATTTCAATAAATTTAGTTTTTTGTTCCAGGTTCATAAAATACATACATATACATACATACATACATATTTATGTATATGTAGGTGAATAAACAAAATGTTTGTCCAGTTCAATGGTTTTAATAGAATTCACCCATAATTTATGACTTTAAAGATAAGAATTATATTTTTAAATTTGAAATTTTATCTCGGAAATATTTTTTTTTCCTGTTTAAATTTTTTATAAATACATACATACATACGTATATAAAATAGTAGATTTCAAAAAAGACCTTTTTGGTTTATGTGCTTTTTTCTAACATAAAATTTGTTATATAAAAATATAGTCAATTAAACTCATGGTTAATAAGTTAGCACATTTCGTTTTAATAATTAAATTTAAATTATAAAAATTATCTATTGAAATAATTTATATTTATGGAAAGCATACTTTATGTGATATAAATGATGGTTACAGCTATGTCATACATTCCTACTTTAATAGAAGTTCAATATAATTTATGCAGGCAGAGTGAGACTAACAAACACACTTTTTCCAAAAAATTTTGGAAATTTATTTATATTGCAAAATCTATTTTATATCATATTGTATAAAAGGAGTATATATATCATTTAGTTAAGCTGCTCATGTAGATTATAAATTACAATTTCTAGTCGTATATCGTATATTAGAAAATTAGCATTTAATTATAAGAATAAGTAAGAAAATAATGAATCCTATATTTGCTAGATGTTAGGTTAAGAGCTAATCTATGATTTATTTAATGACGAACAGTTTTCTTTATAGAACATTTTCATGGATTTAAAATTTGAAATTCTCAATTATTGTATTTCTGCAACCTTATACCATGACATAGCATGCGTTTATGAAAGGCCAAATACATTTACTTAACAGTAATAATATTTTTTATAATTAAATAAAGTATTCTATACATATATACGTACATAGTCAAGTAAATGTTTATAAATATGTATGTACATGTATATGTACATTACAATTAATTATACATAATATTATCTTTTTATTTTTTCCCATTTCAATGTAACAAAATTATTAAAGTGTAATTATTCACTTATGTTTTTCATGTGCCTATACACACATACATACATTTACACGCTTTTGTACGTATTTTATAAGAATGATACACGATATTTGATATACATATACATAGTTTAAATAATAATATTTTTCTTCATTTCAAGGCCTACTACAATAATATACAGAATAAAACCATTCCATTCGTATAAAATATTTTATTAATTTTTTTAAATTTTTGTTAGTTTAATACAAAAAAAAAAGTTAAAAGGATAATCTTTTTTCCTATTGTTCATTTACATATAATTGTATGATAATTGATTACTTTATACTTCCTCTGTTATGTTATATTATAACAAACATTATAACAAACGTTGTAGAGTAATTATGAATTTGTATAAGTGTATATACGCTCATGCAAATTTATACACACATGTATATACGTAATAATTTTCTCTAATTTAGAAGAAATATATTGAAATGTGTACGAGTATACATAACGTATATACTATGAACAAAATGAAAATGTCATTGTTATTTTAAATAAATTTTGGATCGAAATCAATGGTTTTTAAAGAAGCACATTTCCCTTCAACAACGGGTGTTGAGAAGGCGAGTACTGGTCACACTTAGTCCTCCATATTTGAACCTACAGGTGTACTCACTGGACATTGGCTCTTGATGTTCCATATGAAAAAGATGGGCGGAATGCGAGATCTGACGTCTCTGCCTAGAAGAGGGCGATGGGGCACTTATTGGTGTGAATGGGAGGCAGTAACATCCTTACCACTGGGATGTTTCGAAAGGGATCCCGATCAAAGACTTCCTGATTGAGGTAATTATTATACTGCAATTTTTTAAGGGTCTAGTTATAATACAAATGTGAGTAGGAATGGGAATCATAAAAGATACTGTAGGTCGACGCGAAAGGGGCTTAAAGATCGCGTCTTCTACACGACAAAAATAACACTTAGAAGAGGTAAAACTTTCAGAGAAGATTGAAAGTAAATAAAAATTCTAAAGAGGCTGTTTTGTTGCAGAGACCAATTTGTGTGCAAAATTTGAGCCTTCTATTTTAAAGCCTGTAAAGTTATACACAAAAACGGATGAATGAAAAGACATACAAATTAATGGACGTAATAATAAAACTTATCAGCACATTTTCTTCCAATTTTAAGTTGAAAATTATACAATATAATAGAATAAAAAGTAAAATACCCGAAAAAATATACCATTTCTGTATTTTTTTTTTTTGCTGAGTAATAAGTTTTTTCTAAAATTCTTTTCTTAATTTTAATTGTATTTCAATTATAATTTAAAAATGTATATTTTTTAATTAACTTCATAAATTCTTTTAAAATATTCATAAAATTTCATATTTGTTGACAGTATGGTGGTATGGGAGCGAAATTCTACATGTATACATTAGTCAAATTATTAGACAAAAATTAATATATTTTAATTTTGTACGTATGGATTTCAATATTATTTGCCTTATAAGGTGCATTAAAGAACATCTTGCTTTGTTGGTGAATGAAATTGGTGATTAAAATTTTTAGATTTGTCGTAAAGAACACGTCGTTTATACTCGTAAAAAAGAAAAAAACAGCCCCATAATGTGTCTACTCGTCTTTACTGAACGCTTTTATATATATGTATATTGCAAATAAAATGGTAACTTTTCTAATATTTAAATTATTTCATTTAAAAATTAATAAAATCATTTTGATATAAACACATTAATTGTTTAGATTAAAGAAATAATATTTATTTCAAAATAAATTCCTAGAAAATGGAGGGAAAAATTAAATATGTAAAAAAAAAATTAAGTTTTTTTTGCCGGAAATCACGCACCTAAACATTTTTACCTTTTAATTTTTTTATATTTTAATTTTTGCTTTTTTGTTTTTTTTTTCTTTTACTTAACATTTTGGAAGTTATTTATTAAGTTAGAAAAAATATGTTACAATTTATAAAATTATATTAATTATATAAAAAATAAACATGAAATAAAAAAATCCCATATTAAATATAAAATGATTTTAATATAGCGTGTTCAACAGGACTTATTGTATTTAAATACTCTATGTATATAGAATTGTGTGGTGCGAACAGAAAGAATAATTATTATTAAAAAAATATCATCGAATAATATTTTATTTCGATGTATTAAACTAATATTTAAATAAATAATTATATTTAATTAAAACATTTGAAAAAAATTTCATTTATTTTGAAAATTTTCGTACAAGTTTGTACAACGACAAGATCAATATCTCGACTTCACCAATAGTATAGCGATGGTTGTTCACTTTAACAAATCAAATCTAGGTGAAAATCGAATATCAAAGATAACTATTAAAACAAGGGATGAAATCAAAAAGTAAATATAAAATGTAACACTGCAAAAATGTTACTGCGGTGCTGTTGTAGCACTGCAACATTAAGTGTTGCAAAGAAGTGAGAAATGAAATGGCGAAAACAAAATGGACAATCCAACGAACGGTCGGAAATTTAACGACAGATGAATTTAACGAACTATCGGTTGAATTTCTGAATGAATAAAATATTTTCGCAGGAAAATATTACATATATTGTAATATTTAAAATAATTTTAAAAATAAATACTAAAATCTAATAAAATTATGAAGAAAAGAAAATAAAATGTTCCCATGTACATACCTACATACATTTATGCATGCAATTATTTATTGAAAGACGAAAAAAAAACGAAAATGTATAAAAACTCATTTTATCCACTTGATATTTTTAATGTTTTCCATTTTCTTTAGTTTCTTGCACACTTCACCTATAATATTTTGTCTTAAGTATTTCTGTGTTTTCTTACCGGTTAAAATTGTATGTAGAGTAGGTACTCTTTTTTTTTTATCAAATGAAATGTGCACTTATGAAATGTGTATAGCATCAAAACAAAAAAAAAAAATAAGGAAAAAAGAGAAAAAGAATAATATAAAAACAAAAACTTTCCCTACATTTTTATAAATATGCAACTATTATTTTTTGAATTTCTAAATTCCGCTCTTACTTACTCAAATTCCATGTGAATTACAGTAAGGTTTCCTCTATAAATATAAAAATGTAATTCACGTTTTTCTTTTTACTATATGTGCATTGGTGGTTTTGTTGACATTATATAGAGTGCACAATATACTATTGTAAAAGAGCAGGTTGTAATTTTGAATATTTTAAGATTTTGTACCGTAAAAATTGCATTTAATAAATTTATAAGTGTATATATACTAAATGTATTGCAAAAATCTGCACAGATATTTTTCATAATGAATTGCATGACTTTATTGAACGACTATTAATTTTTATGACATGTAGGTGCATAATATGTAAGCAAACGAATACCAGTTTATAAAATTCGAAGAACATTTTTTTTTTTGGATTAATTATAAATTCAGAAATTTTAACGCAGTAAAATAAAAGTAATGGAACTGAATATGAAGAAAAACGGTAAGCATTGGAGATGAGAAATTTTTTTTTTGTATAAAAAGCAATTAAAATATTATTTTAAAAATCTTTACTGAAAGTTTGCAGTGTGTGGAGACTACAATGTGTTTTGATACTTTCAAATTTTATTATTTTCTGGTGGGTCAAATTTATTTCTCTTAATTATTGATAATTTGAACTTAATAAACTATGTTTATAGTTAAGAAAATTGAAAAAACTAAAAAACTCGCTTTTAAAAAATATGCTTTTGTATGTTATTTATTCAAAAAATATGAATAAACATTTTAGTGGCACTAAAATACTGATTTCGACGCTCTGGAAAATTGTGCTGCTATAATCTTTACGAATGGAATTCATTCAGAAATCTATGACTTAGTTAAGCCCGTATTTCATAGGATTCTACGAGTGAATATTATATTTTTTTAAATTACAATCTTTAGATATTATACATATCTATTATACATTTTGAAGTTCCTTTTAAAATTAACATGAAATCTTTGGCCATTAAATGGACTATGACTTAAGAAATGCAAACAGACGTTCTTATAAAGAAAAAGAAAAGTTTCTAAATATTCCTGAACACATAATCTTTAAGTTTTGTATAAAATTTCATTTAAACTTTTCTTATTCTTAATGCACGTTCGCTATATACAATAATAATAATAATTATAAGAATTCTAAAATAGGAAAGAGGAAAGAAAAGAATATTAATATGTAAATTACTTTTTTCTGCCTTTTTTTTTACATACAAACTTTAATTTATTTAAAGATTGGTGCTTTCTTTTTTTAATTTTCTTTAACATGTGGCAATATTTGAAATATTAATGTGATTTTAGTTTGTTTTTTTTTGTATTCTTTTTATGGTTGTTAACAGAAAAATAAAAGAGATGCAAGGTTATTTTTATATAAAAATGTCCTTGAAAGCTTTTTCTGTAAAAAAAAAAATATTTTACTACTATACTCTCTGTTACAAAAGAAAATTTAAATCGATAATCTCACCTAATTTAAGAAATTGAAAAAAAATTTTAAACGGTAAAAATTTCTAGAAAAATGAATAAAAAACATAACAAAACTTATAAAAATAAAGTTTCACTTTTCTACTTGTCGTGTACAAAAATTTTAGTATTAGCAACTTGGATTTTTTACACAATAAGACTTTTGTCCTAAAATGTTGTAATTTAGAATGCAATAACAATTAAAAATTTTTCTATTTCAATTCCCTTTTATGTAATATAGTATAATTATATTAGAAGACTCTGACCGGTCTCGAAACAACTCCACTTAGCTAAGAGCACAAAAATGCGAATATTCAGCGCCAATAAGGCAGAAAACCTAATCAAATTTTTAATTCAAAAACAATTTTTCTTTATTATATACGCAATAATTCCAATTAAAATTAATAATGTATTTTTAAAGTAATAATTAATTACCTTAAATTTTTTGGCTCAAATTTAGTTAATGACGAAACACGTAAACCAGAATAAAAATTAGAAGGATCCGTTTGTGTTGTATTTATCACATAATAGGCTATGAAAGGAAATTCCGCTGCAATATATTAAAATAAAATAGGTAATTTTAGTTATAAATTCAAATAAATTATTTTATTTGTATATGTATGCAAATATATTATATATATGTAATTAAAATTATTAATATTAAGAATCAAAATTATTATACAAAATTTACATAATTTTATCAATTAAAGTTAATTATAAATTTTTCATAATCCCTTAAACTAAATTAAAACTAAAATTAAATATCTTATTTATTTATGATAGAAACTAATTTATGTTACATATATATTTTACCATTTCTTTCCATATTGGCTAAAAGCATTCCACCACATGCTGTATTGGCTTGTTGGACTTCATTGAGCAATTCGGCAGCAACGGCACGCTGTTTTAACAACTAAAAATAAGAAAATTAAAATGTCAAAGTAAAATTTTAAAGAATATTAAAAGAAATTATATTTCAAAGAACGTTACGAACAGATATTCCGTAAACGGATTGGTCCGAGTATATGTAAAATTATTTTGATTACAATTATTAAAATATTTGATTAGTTCATTAACTTATTAGATTCTAACAAAATGCCGTTGTCATACTAAAAATTATTTATTAAAATGTATTACAATACATTAAAGTACATAGAAAAAGCAGAATAAAACAAGAACAATGTGTAAATAAAGAGATTTGATTCACTTTATATATCAATGAATATTAAATTTATTGATTACGATGGTTTACCCGAAGTAGAGTAACGAAATGGATCAAGAATAATTAAAAAATCAGGATTTTATCAGGATATTTTATTTACCTTGTGTCATCGGAGTCAAGGATTCTCTTAGTTTGAAAAACATTTGAGTTTATATTAAAAAATTTTAAAATGTTTGTCAACTATTTTTCTATTAATGGTTTTTACTATTAATTTTTTTTACTGATGACAGGTCGGAAGTAATGCGCAAACGTGGTTCAGGTATAATGAATAGCAACAGCGAGAGGCTGATTGCGACATATCAGAATTTACATCTAAACTTCACAAAAAAATAAAAAATCTGGCGATTGCTCGTGAAGAAGATATGCAAAACATATTCAGTTAAGTAGGGAGAAGAGGTCTGAAGCGCTACCATAGGAGAAAGGAATGAGTGGATCTCAGATACATGAAAAAAAAAAATTAAAAAAAGAAAATAACTGAAAGAAAAACTATTGGTATAACCACAGTATTATAGTAGAAACTACTTTAACAAAATAGCTATAGAAGCACAAAAAGCAATGGAACGCAAAAATATCTGCGCTATCTACAATAAAGTAAGAATACTCTCAAATAAGGCCAAGAATCGGAAGCAATTATCTAAAAATAATCTGCTAAAAATAAACTCCAATACAACAGTAGATATCAATAAAATCTGGCAAACAATACAAATATCGTGTTGCTGGAAGAAGGAGTATAGTAATAAAGCAACCAACAAAGGGAAACTTACGAAACGGAACTGGCGAGGTATAACAATACTGAACGCTGCTGTAAAGGTACTTGCGCTTATACTATATTCAAGAATTAAGATTAAAAAAGAAAAAGACATTAGAAAAGAAAAGGCAAGATTCAGGAGGGCCGCGGACGTGTCGACTAGTTTAACACACTTCATATAGTCGCAGAATAGTCAGTCAAATAAAATTTACCACTGTATATCACTTTGGTGGATTTCTAAATAAACTTCGATACGATCACCCGAGGAAAGAAATTAAAATTTCAAGGACAACATGTCTATGAAGCGAAAACCTGGAATCAAACCATTATTAATTGTTTTTTTTTTTTTTTGATGCGACTACTCATACCACATGCTTTTATTAGAATTTAATACAATTAAAACTTTGTTTATTTTTTTAAAAGTTTCCGTGTCATTTATGTTAATATTTTACCATTATGTAATAATGAAAAAAGAAAAGAAACAAAAATCATATTACCATTTACAAATTGTTATCCTTGAATATTTTAATTGAGTTTTTAATATGTGTTTTTATTTTTAATATGTACGTACATATATAGAAGATAATATTGTATTTCTAAAATATTATTGTAAACACAATTTGTTTTTTAAATTGTTCTAATGATAATTTGTGCATTTCATTTACAAAAAAAAACAGAAAAATCATATTAAAAGGTTTTAACTGAAAAATATGTTCAAAATTAAATATTCATATTTTGTATCCGCATTGTAATTATGTAGAATGAGAACTTTTTGTTTTTACAAATTTACAAAAATTCAAAAAGTTTTTACTTAAAAATGTTAATAAATAAGTGTAATTATTACATAAATAATGTCCGTACAGGATTATATATACATTTTGCCAATTAAATTTTATAGCTCTTAAATTTGTAGTACATTAAGTAACTAAATTTTGGGATCTTTTTTTTGTACATTATGTAAATAATTAATTATAGTAAACCAATTATTTAAAAATATTATATTGAAATCGAAATGCGTATGGGAAACACACTATGTATTCAAAAAAAAGCATATTTGAAAATTTTTTATCTGTGGTATAATACCAAATACCACGGGTAAAAAAATATAATTACAATTAATATGCCTTCAAATTTAAGTATTTAATTAATTTTTTATTAAATAATTACCGGATGAGCTAAAGGTGATTCTAAAACTGGATCTATTGGTTCCAGTGGACTCATTAAATGGACTAATACACATACTTTTGGATCTGATACTTCCAGTACACTTAATGGACTATTTGACACAGCACCATCAGCTGATGGCGGAGGTAACTAAAATAAAAAATTAAAAAAAAAAAATTAATTTTTATTTATTCCAATAAAATATCAAAAATATTGAAAAGAAATCTGGCTCTGAATTATATATCCAGATTTATAATTACCGGTATACCTGCTGGCAAAAATCTATCTAAACTATGAACTGGTATTATAAAACAATCACGATCTAATGTAGCTAATGATATCGGTTCGGTACGAGCAGATCCTGCACCACCAAAACTTACTATAAAAATATAAATGAGATGAAGAATTAAAAAAAATATACATTAAAAAAATAAATTGAGGTTAGATTCACTGTTAAATTTGAATTTTCCTTAAATTAAATAAAAAAAAAAACTGTTTCAAATTTTAAATAAAAACTAAAATGAAAAATAATCAAGTAAACATTAAAAAAAGACACTTATCAGAATTATCAAAAAAAAAACTATTTAGCGCGATGTTAAAATTCGAAAATAATAGAAGTGTGCTCGGAAGTCACTTTCAGAATCTTTCATTTTGTACAATAAAAGTTCCTGTTTTTTATGATGACTCTAATAAATGCTTTAGTAACGCTGCTTCGTTGATAAGAATATTGGGAATGGAATAATATATCCTCTTTTCATTTTTTTTATTAAATGTTAATAAACTTTTATTGTTTTCCGAATAATCTTCTGTTATTTTCGAAATTTTTCAATTTTAATTTATCTAGATCTTAATAAGTTTTTTTTTGCTTACTAAAATTAATTATACCTATTAAAATATTTAAGATTTTCTATAAAAAAGCTTACTGATTATAATCGTTTGGGTATTTTTAGAATAGTCAAATTATTTATACAAACTTCATTTCTAAGTCAGGTAAATTGAAATAGCTGACAAGTTTGAATTCTATGGTATGACAAATTGAAATAGCTGCTCAAATGTCAAATTTAAATAAAATTTTAAAATTTTAACTATTTACATAGCTTCGGAAGTCAGGTATATTTGCAAAATTTTTAATGACAGAATATAAATTACTTGAACAACAGTGCATTATTATTAAAATAAACAACTAGCAAAATCGAATTAGAAAATTTTTTTTGCTTGCACCTAAATGCAAACAAAGCTCCATAGAAAAATTTTGCACCTTATGGGAACAAAAGGTTAATATTGTAATTATTTTACAGAATTCAATTCATAAACGTTTCAAATACTTCACTATAACTTTTTTACAGAAAATCTAAACATAAAAAAAATTACCATGTTAAAATAAAACCATAATTTAAAGTATAAAGAGCTTAAATTTTGGTTTTATTCATAAAGCTAAAAAAATTTATTTACAAAAATTTCGTCTTATTTATTATCAAATGTCTGTCGTCTATATTTATTTTTTTCTAAAAATAAAATATTCAAAAATTATTTCATAATTTTTAAAATTAAAACAAAAAAAATTCAAAAATTAAATTTATAACTTTTTTTTTCAAAAATTGCCCCTATTGTCTGTGCAAGGTGCATAATGTACTCATGAATTAAGTATATAAATTGGTTTGTTAAAAAAAAATGAATAATTAAACATTTCATAAATTTCTAAAGTATTGGATTTGAAATTTATTTATGTAGGTACATATGTATGTATGTGTAAATGAAATACAAAATAACATGAAAAGTTAAATGGAGGTCGTCAGATGCATTTTTTTATTTTGAATTTCTGTTAGACCATAAGTATATAGGTACAATAAAATGTTAGTTACTATTAATTAGTTTGTATTAATGAATGTGTCCTTATACTTCAGAGTCCCCGCATAACGTTTCAAATTTCAAAATTGTAAAAATATTTGAAATACTACATAATTCACAAATTACTATTCTGAATTACATATTAATGCCGCATAACTGTATTTTGTAGTCAGGAATCTCTGATTTAAGAATTGCAAAAATGTTGTATTACAACACAATTAAGCTATTATTAATAAAATACTGAATTGTGTATAAATACCTACATTTCGTGCACTTCGGCTCCAGAATACGATTGTTATTTTGTTTTTTTAATTAATTATAAACGTAGATAAATAATATTTAACCAAAAATTAAGCCATTTACATAAGCCATTCACAAAAGCGATTTATTTAAACCACCCAATCAAATATTACATTAAAAAATTATAATATTATACTATTATCTCAAAATTACAGTAATACTGCAATGCAACACAATTTTATAGCAATATTATAACTCACTAGCTGAAATTTGTATATTACTGCAATTTTGAACATAAAAATATAAATATTACACAAAAAAATTAAAAGAAAAATTATAAAAACCAAAAGAAAAGAGAGAAAAATATAAAAAAATTAAATTATTTTTATAGCAATTTAAATAATATTAAAAAACTAAAACATTAAAAGCAGTTTTTATAATAATTGTATCATAGAAATATATTCGTACATTTAGCAAAATATATAAAATAATAATTAATTATTTGAATTCTAAAAACTTAAAATTTACTTTTTATACAATAATGAATAGGTTGCATTATCAATAAGAATTTCTAGAAATTACTCAAAAATCTTGAAGTTCTATGGATATACATACTGAACGGAATTTTATTTTTACACAAGACAGAAATAATATTGACCGAGCGTTTGTTACTAGCAAACGCAATCCATTAAATATTTAAATTTATCACAATGACAGTGATGTGCTGGTCTAATTGGTAACAAATATTATAGAAAACTATAAGATAAAAAACAGAAAGTTTATGTGAAATCCAATAACGCTCGAAAGCCTTAATTCAGAGTAAAAGTAATGATGTACAAAGCAACATAGTTTAACCAGACACTTATTCCAAAGAACAAAATTCTCTGAGCTATTTATATATTCGATATCGTATTCTAATTTATAATCTAAAAGTATTCATCCGTTTGTCTATTCATTTTTGAAAGCTTTTTTGAAAACAATAAAAGTTAAATGCTCCACGTTTTGTTTTCATAATTTTGTATTTGTTTTCGCTGTACATACTCGTAGAATAGTAATTGCGAATGACCTTTTTTATTTGCAAAAAACCCGGAAGTAAAATACATATATGTAAATATTTAATACCTACATGTTAAATTTATAGGAAATTCTGGTAATGCAAAAAAAGAAAAAAAATTTACATTTAATTAAATTTTGGTCCTTACACAATCATTTTTGTATTCAAAAAATATTAAAATGTTGAAAACCTACTTACTCACATATATTCAGTAGTTATTTTTTCTTTCCTTTAGCTGCCAGAAACTTAACCATAAATATTAGCACTCGTTATTTTGTAAAACTTTATGTCCAGTCATAAAATGAATGAAGTGGAAACAATTTAAAATTAAATTCAGAAACTGGGAACCGAAATTGTATACTAAGATGTTAACGAAAAACCAATAAGCATAAAATGCACTTAATTTGTTTTCACAATTCTACAAAAATACATAAGAATAACTCAAAAGTTTTTCCATTCTACCTGGCTTCAATGAAGCAAATCAGTAATATTAGGAAATATTCTTAGTATTTATATGTATTTGGTAGAGAGGGATACGTATGCATTTAACTACTAAGTCGTTACTTTTTTCTACGTGAAAACCCCTAATTATATTTCAATATTGTTATATATTACATGCCAGTATGTATAAGTCGTCACATTTGTTTGTAAAACCATTTCTTGTTTAACAATGCCTACTGTAGACAGATTTGGTGAACTTTAATTGTTATTTTTTTGACATGAAGGTTCAATTTTCCCTATCATGGATGTATTTTTAAGAATTGTTGGTTATTACGAATATTAATAGAAAACGATTAGAGTATAAATTATAAACGTTCATTGAATTTAAATTTGTTTTAGCTATAAAAATCTGCAACTCAGGAATTAGATATTATATAACAAAAAGAAATTGACTTTCGTTAGAACACTGTTTGCGTTTTCAAATATACATATACATAAGTATGTACGTTACATACTTGGGCCTATATTAGGTGCATATGTAGGTAGTTTTACGTTAAATTATCTTTGGAGAAATGAAATGTAACTAAATGCATTGTATGATATAAAACAAATTATTTATATAATGGAAAAAATCAAATGAAGCTTAAATAAGTAAAAGTTGTTTGAGGAATACTCACTCACTCAATTAAAAGGATTTTTTGAAAATCCATCTTCAATTCATCGTCTATTGGCACTAACAAACCATAAAGTTACCTTAAGTTTGTTATTATGTTATTAATTTCAATATTTTCCGCTCTCAGCTCATAAATTTCATAATTAAAATAAATAAATCAAAAAATAATATAAACCAAGCTTTTCATAGAAGAAAACTTAAAGTAGTGCTTTAAAGTCTACTTAAAATTTAAAGTACAATATAATTGACAAGCCGTTTGGTTAAACAGAGTTGACGTCTCAAATTTTCACTTTGCAATGTCGGTAAATTTCAATTTCTTTTTAAAAATATAACTAAAGCTGTGAACGACACCGGCGGACGATTTTCGTTGTTAGCCCAGACATAACATATTTGCATATAGTGCATCGCACACATGGAAAAAATATTGCAAAATAAGCTCCAAGAATAAAAGAGAAATTTATCCTATTTTCTGCCGGCGGTTAAATTCGCGGCGGTTATATTCTATACGAATCTGACATTAAGCCGAAATATCGCTCTTGTTCTGTTTTCAACTTAAAATAGAATTTGGATTTGGTTACATGAATTTTTTAAATCAATTATCATTTTTGCTTATTTAAATATTGAAAAGTATAAAGTTTTATAAAATAATACAAAAATTAAATGAACTATAAATTGAAAATTATTTTCTTTTATATAAAAGATACCAATATCTGTATGTTATAACTTTTTTATATTAATTATACAGCATTAAAAAATAGATTAACAATTTTATTAAGCCATAAAAATAAGCTATTAAACAAGAAAAAATGAAAAAATAGTGAAAATTATATTTTTTATGTATTTATGTAAAATTAAAAATTAAATAAGATTTGTATGTCTAGCTTTCTATGCTTTATACTTATGATTTTTTTTTCTAATTTACAATGTGTATATATGTATTTAAAACAAAAATTTCAAATTTTTATTTTAAATGTTTTATTTTTAATCTTGTTTTTTAAATAAATGAACGGTATGATAATTTTTTATTTTCCATTTTATAATACAATATGGTAACACTATAGTGCATAAAATATATAATGTTCACAAAATTGGGTAATTAGAAAAATTTGTCAAAACATGATTTTAAATTATTTCAAGTGGAAATGATGGATTCAAATAACATTAATTAATTTAACAATTAAAAATAAAATATTACTTGGAAAAGAAGATTAACGAAATTGTGCGTAAATTTCGAATTTTTTTAAAACTAAATTAAATTTAACCATTTTATTTAAAATTTTATGAATTTTCTATGATGAAGTTAAAGAATAAACACGTTAAAGCTATAAACATAATCAAAATTCAAAGATAAGACGCACTTCAATATTTGACAATTGAAAAAAAATTTTGCTTCAATGTAATTAAATGAGGGTGCAAGGAATACAGTTGTAACTTCAAAGCAGCTGATTAAAATAATTTTATTTTCTAGTTTTAAATCTCCTGATTTCAAAACATATGACATTTGAAAGCAAATTCAATTAATCTTCTTATACAGAAATTTGAATTAATGCTTTCCACCTTGATTATTCGATACTAGACGTATAATCAAGGTGAAAATATTTTACTGTTGCCAAATTTTCAACTGTATCAATTCAATATCAAGATGTTATTAGTTTGTTCGGAATTTCCAATTCATATGACATTTTTGTTTAACTTTCTTTATATGAATGTTTTTGATAAAATCGTACTACTTAAATGTTAAATGATAATCAAAATTTTAAAACGCAATATGTTTATATTTTGAAGTTCTTGAAGCACTTCCGAAAACGCTTTAAATTAAAAGCGTTCAGTGAAAAAGTCCATATAATATTACAACATTTATGGATTTTAGTGTTTACATTTGACATGAAACCAAATTATTGCACTGATTGACTAAGTTGAGTTTACGCGTTGCAGTTCTATGTTAGAACTTTAGTCATAGTCCGTTTTTCTTGCTTTACTGCAAATGAAGTCTGTATTAGTTTGTAGTTCTACAAAAGTTCTGGAATTGTTTTTTCATTTTCACTTTGACTACATTTGCTTGTTTGTTTTGTAATTTTTTAAGTTTTGATGTTAATTGTAAGTAGGGGTTTTATTGACAGAACCACTTTTGCTAATTTATTGGTTTGTAGTCCTTAATAAATAGTAACTGAATTGGCAAGGGCTGTGAGCATTAATTCAACTTATGTTGATTGGTTGAAGTGAAAATAATACATATTGAGTGATTAATAATTCATTATGTGATACATAAAAAATAAAATTTACGTTTGAAACAAATATTGCATGCACACGAGAAACAAAAAAAAATTAAATGATAAAATCACAAAAAATAAAATTCATTTTCCTGTCATATTACGTTATTTACAAAGTTCTGATTTGACAACGAGATGACATGTGAGCTTTAATTACAAATTATGAATGTCAAAACAAAATGTCAAATTTTAATTAAAGAAAAAACAAAAAAGTAATATTAGCCAAAAATTTAAAGTTAAATTAAATACATTTTTTTTTTAAATTAAAATAAAAATTTAGAAATGAAAAAAAAGGAATCAAATTAAAAAAAGAATTAGAAAAGTTTTTTTTGTCAACTTTCAAAACTGCAAATCAAACCTTGCCTGGCAGCGGTAGGCGTATGCGCATCATTCCTAGCTGTCCATTTTAAGTATGATACTGATGGTCTACGATCGACTAAAGGTTGGGGTGCATCCACATCACAGGAAGATGAGGTTAGGGTGTATGTAGCACCCGTTAATACGGGGCCACATCGCTCTGTAAATTTGTCTATTTCAATTCTAATATAGTACATGTAATAGTAAATTCTATTTGACATAGAAAACTAGACATATTTTATACCACATTATTATTATACTAAAGAAATTATTTTTTAAAAACGCACATTATATTCGAATATTTATTTATTTTTTTTATATTTTATATTATTTTACACATGTGCATATTATATTTAAATGGAGATAACTAATAAATAGATATATGTTATAATTTTGATTATAATTACGAATTTATTTAAGAGAAAAATACATTTATATCAATTCTGACAGTTTAAATTGTAATAAATTTTTTAATTCAATTTTATAGGTAAAAATGTTTCACTAAAATGTCATATAATAAAAATCGATATTTTTGCACTAATAATGTAAAGATCTACAAAAATTTTGAAATAACTGTATAAAATAAAATGTAATTATAAAACTATAATTCTTATTAAATTAATAAATAGATGAAATAATAGATCTGAAGGAAAAAGAATCAGATTATGTAGCAAATTGTATAAATAACTAAAATGTTAGATAATTATTTAAGTTTACTTATTTTGAAAGCTAATTAAAATAATGTGTATTATAGCAAATTATTATTAATCTATAATTATATTATAATTAAAATGACAGATTAGTAAAAATTTAAATATTTACTTTAATATAAGGCATTCAATCAATATTATATAAAAATTACTACAGTTAATTATTAAATATAAGACTTATTGCGCATTAAACAGTAATTGAGGTCGAACCTAAATGTATGATTTTGAAAACTTTGACACAGGCACTACGCGTCCATTTAGCTCGTTTACTAAATATACATACGTACAACAGCATTAAGTAAAAAAAATTTTAGTACTTCAGATTGAATATCGAGTGGCCCATCTCTAGTTATTTTCTGTATCAAAGCAAAGATCGCTAAATATCTAAATACCGGAGTAAAGTATCAATAATTATTCATTGTAACATCCCTACTTAATTTTAAGAATTTAAAAAAGAACGGCAGGAATTTAATGACGCGCATAACAGTTCATATCTTATTTGATAAATTAAACCAGTTTGGCTTTTGATTAATTTAATTTGAAAAGAAAAAGGAAAAAGGGAGAGTTTTAAAGTGCAATTAATTAAATTTCCAACGTACGAAGAGGACATCGAGACAAGTGGTTTTTTAAAATAAATTCTAATTTTGAAGGTCAACAACTCATCGAAATATTTCGGGTAGATGAAAGTCTCAAAGTTAATACAGAAACAAATATATGGACATATTGTACATGTGTATGACATATTTTATCAAATTTTGCATGAATTCAGAAATGAAATCTAAAATTTATTACAAATTCAGTAATTCAAGGAGAAACAGTGGATAAAACTTTAGAGTCTATTGCTAAAATTGTACTGGATATCAAAAATTAGCATATTGTTAAGTTTTAATATAAATATGTAAGTATATTAACATTTTATGTATGTATTATGTGTACATAAACACTGCACTTACAATAGAATATTATATTTTAGTACAGTTAAAAATTATTATGATGAAGTATGGAAAACTGCAAATGCATTTACATTTTAAACTGCAAAAATCGCATGTTCAACTTATACATAATGAAAATTTATAGATATAACATACTATATACGTTATATCTTATATACTTTATAGGCATAAAATTTAAATGGATAATAATTTTATTAATAACGAGAATATTTATTGTCTATGGTTATATGATAATTAATTAATGTTAGTAGAAATTGTTAGGACTATGTGTCTTATGGTAGTGCTTTTAAAATTTCCTTCGTATTTTATTAATTTTTTTATTCAAATTATATATTTTTATTAAAAGTTTTAATAGATAGTTAGACTAGAATTTATTATCAAAATTATTAAAGCAAATCTGTATCCTACTTAAATTGAAATTTCTTTAAAAGTCGATTCGTTTGCATCTACTTTTCTACTTCCTAAAATTTTTCAAATAAATTATATAAAAAATTAATTTACTTTCTGAATCATAATTATTATTTTATTAAAATTTTTGCTTTAAATTCAACAATTTAAAATTTTTCTAAAACAATACTTATTTCTTCAATCAGATTATAGACCTTGATTTTAAATCAAATTCAAAATTATATTTTATCATAAAGCTCGATTTTCATTCCTAAACAAAAAAATACACATTCAATATCTTGCTTGTTTTTTTTATATTTATTAGTAATTTAATTTTATATCAATTTACTATTTATATTATGGTATAAAATTGTCCTTTTAACCTTTCATTTGCAATTGAATTTATGTAGTTTTGTAATTTTTGGATGGGGAAGCACTATATTTATGACGAAACCAATAATAATTTTAAAATATAATAAGTTCTTTGAACATGAACGAAGTATACTATATGTTAAAAAAATTTCCTACATAGGTATACATAGGTACATACATATTTATGTATATTTTAAAAATTACTTATATGTTTGTCTATAAAGGCCAAAAAAAGTTTTGGTCTTTTTCTTATTTAATTTCGTGTTAATTTTTCGTTGACTTTTATTTAGTACACTATCATACATATTTATTATTAAGATGTTATTAATTTCAATTGTCCTTATTTATACCTTCATCAGCAGTACCAGGTTGACCACGAGCTGGATGAAAGAATAAATGTGTTCTATAATGTAAATCTTCGGTATTTTGAAATCCACCCATATCTCTGGAACGTTTACCTTGTGATCTACTTGCTTTACTTTGTAATTTACCGCCACCACCAGTTGATTTTCCGCTACTCTCGCGGAAATTCTTCCGGAACATTAAATTCATTTTGATGCTTGTTCCGGAGGTGGTGGAGGTTGTTTTACTACTTTTGAAATTAATTTTGAATTATTTTTTTGTTACAATTTTGTCAAAAATAAATATTTTTTTTTTTTTTTTGGAATTATTTTTAATTTTTTATAAGTGGGGTATAGTTATTATGGTTTTTGATTTTTTTTTTCCAATATTGTTATTGACTTGAATTTTATTATACATTTATGTATGTATTTATATGATTGTTAATTACATTTGACAATTAATTTGATTTATTTCATTCTGAGGTTTATGTGTAAATAATTTTGTTAATTTTTTGTTTTATATGAAACATACAATATATAAATATTTTAAAGATTTTAATTTTTAATTTTTATTTCAAATTTTTTAATCATAAGAATTGTAACTGAGTTATTTACATTTAGACTTATCATAAATGCAATTTCTCAATACAAATTTCGGTGTAAAATTCGTATTATATCTTGTGTTTCATATTCGATTTTGAAATTTTAGTTTGACTTAACATAATAAAATTAAAATCCTTAAAAACTTCATAATTTTTAATTGTAAATTTTATAATTAAATTTTTTTAACAGAAATTCATTTTAATCTTGTTGCCAAAATATTAATTGTTAAACGATAATTTTTTTAAATTTATAATACTACCATTTTATAGTTAACATACATAATTTTGTTCAAATTTTTTAAACAAAATTTAAAGGATTGTTCAAGTTCGGATAGAATTAAATGTTTTTCAGCTTCAAATTTTATATAAAACGTTATATAGAACGATTCATAACTAATTTAGAGAAAATTTAATATTTAATTCTCTCATATTTCTAAAATATTCAAACTCTAATTTTAACATATAAATATATTAATTCTATTAAAAAAAAAAGAAACCTAAATGAAATCATAGAGGCATTAATAAAAAATTTCTAAAGCTAATATTGAATTAAAAATTAATTACGATTTTTATTATTTAAATTAGATATTCACAGTTGTTTATTATTTTATATACATATACGTACTCATTTTGTAAACCATATGTTTTTTAAGTTAAAATTTATAAAGCAGCATGTCGTGACGACTTTGACTTTGGACTTAAAAGTGCACATTCAAGGGCAGAATATGTCAAAACTTCAAAACGAAGCAAAAAAAGAAGTAAACAAAAAAGTGAAAAAAAAAGAATAGTAAAACAGTAAAGTAAAAAAGAAAAAATCCATAATTCTCCAATTAAGTCTATAACGACATACCGTTGTTATCTTTATAAATTTATCATTCAGGAAAATTGCCTGAGGTAGGACGCGAAGAGATTTAAAATAATTCCATAATTTGAAATTCTTGTTTTTTTTTTCGCAATTCACTCAATTTTCAATGTTAGACACATGCATATGTATGTATCTACATCTGTGCACACATGTGTTGTGTTTTTTTTTTGAAATGGTAAAATATGTACATTAAGGAAAGGACGTGTCTAAGTGGGTAGTATACAAAATGCATTTACATCCTGAAGAAATACAAAAACATTATGTATAAAAAGATTTTTAGCTTTAGGTATAGTCATTTTTAAAATTTCATTACATATAATTCATGAATTTTTTAAGGTAAACAATGGAATAATAAAGGCAATTTATATTAATGAATGTGTTGTTTTTCTCTTACCAATGGACAGTTTATTGTACGTACATGTAATAAAGCTTAAATTTAAATACATAAATATTAAGTTTAGTTGTTTACGTACAAAATTGTCATGAAAGCCAGTTTGTATAATTAAAAGCACGATCTACCATTCCTTAACGAAATTTAAAGTTGTTTCAAAATTTTTTTTACTATTTTAAATAAAGTATTTTAACATTTTATAATGTCGAGTCGTAAACATATACATTTATACATTTATAATACATACATTTATAATAACTTAAAAATGTAAATAAATTCAGACATGAAGTTTTGAAGTTTCTTCTATTTTAGCAGAAAATTTTTAAATGATGTTTTCGGATTTCCCACCCATTTTGTATCTGTATACACATTTTTCACATTCCGGAAACTTAGAAATTTGGTCTGTTTTTTGTGTCGGTTTTTTTTCTTTTGCTTTAAAATAACTCTGTTTGCAAAGGTACCATGCAAATAAATCAATAATTTATATCACTTTTTCACTCAATTTTGACATGCATGTGAATATTTTACATTATATACAAATTTTATTTTTAAAAGAAAACTTATTTTTAAGGAAAAGGTGCTGCTCTAAAAATCAGTAGCTGTTTCCATGTTTTTTTTTGTACAAGTTATTAATGTAGTTAAAAAATTCGGTTACCAAAAGTACACAATGTATGTACAATAAGGGATGAAAAAAACAATGGAAACGAAAAAAATGAAACCACTTAATCCGCAGTATGTGTGTTTGAAATTATATTACACATGCATAAACATATAAATGCATTTATGTATGTGTATATAATTGTATTCAGAAAATTTATAACGGTAAAATATGTTACGTGTGTTTTTCATTTCACATAATAGCCTATTTCATACCTACAAGTAAAATATAATGTACTTTTAGAATTTGATATTATTAAAGACGGGATTTAAAAAAAATATATTAGGTACTTTTGTTTGTCCTTTTGTAAGAATACGTTTATACATAAAAAAATGCATACATAAAAACATTTTATAAAAACCTTTACGCTAAACTTATTTTGTAAGAAGATTATAAGGATAATAAGAGAAAAATAGGAAAACATAAATATTTTTATTTTATTTTTTTTTTTTTTTTTAGAAAATTACAACTCGTAAACAGTTTGCCGGATCATATAAGAATGTACGGATGGAATAGAACTAGTTTTAAAAGTAAAGAGGAGGAGTACTTAAAATCAAATTTGTAGTTTTCGTGTTGGTCGACCTATTTGACCTATATATTTGGTAAGATCTTTAATTTGCTTTTTCTAATTATTATATTGCATTTGGTAACTTTGAGAGAACAAATCATTTCCTCAATTCCTTATATTTTTAGATTGTATTGCACGTAATTTTTTATTACAAAGCAATAATTCCATTTCATTAACTTACTCCTTAAAAAGCATATAAAAAATGCATTTTAAACAAATTGTAATTTATTAATTAATTTAAAAAGAAAATATTACTAAAAAGTGGACTCTTAAAATATACAAACATTTTGTTTCTAACAATTTTTTTTATATTGCAATAAATGGTGTGCAATTAAAATTTTCTCAGTAATTATTATTCTAAAAGGTTCCTTTCCTTAATTTTATATCATTATATTTTATATTAAAAGGAGGGTATTTACTTTTTTTTTATAATATACACTTATTTATACTTTAAAAAAATCCTTCATAGTTAAAATATTCATGCAATACGTTACATTATACTATGAAAAAAAATTTATTAAATATTAATTTTTTAACAAATTGTAATTTTTATTAAATCGAAACACGAAAGCGCGGAAAAAATACTAAGAAAATTTATAGTTAGTGAACAATTCTAGTGAACTCTGAGCAATTGTCCTTCGAACTTTCTAACTCATTAGTGATTCTAATTCTAGTCGCTATCAAGTTTTTAACGCCATTTTCTTAATTATATTCATAAACTAGAGCCTGTTATGTACACTAGCCACATTATAATTTATGGTTGCTGTATTAATATGGGAAATACGTAATAACTCGATTTACCTACAGACTATGCAATACTGAGTTTTGTGTGGAGGTTTCACTATATTTCTTTGACAGAACTTTGTAATGGATACACAACCCTTTTTGGCATGACAAGACTGTTAAGAGGGGTGAATGACGCTTCTATGGCTTCTAGGGTTATGGTAGATTTGTCAATATTATAAAAGTTAGAGTGCTCCCATAAAAATAAGTATTTTATGCTATAAACCAAATTTGTATTATTTTCCAAAATTTACAAAATATTTCCTTGATAGGCTTAAGACATTTTATGGGAATAAGATAAGTTAATTACAATTTTTTCCTCTTAATTTTAATGTTTGATGCAAACTTTACACAAAGTACAAGGGCAGAAACTGTTTTACAAATAAAGTTTTAGTGTAATAACAATAACAACTATTATTCAATTTGTTTAAAGCAATGGTATTTCCAGTAATTAATACTTATATGTTGTTCGTAGTTATAGTTTTAGTATACGCGATAGTTTCGACAGTAATTTTATGTAAATTATAGATTTTATTATATAACTTAATTTTAAGCTGCATATAAACTATCAATTTTTGTATATAATGTTCTTTTTTTTTTCTAACTTTATGCATTTAAAATTTTATACTTGATTTGTTTTAAATATTTACTTTTTGAATTTTTATGTCTCATGAGAAAAACTATAAAGTTGAATAATTTAAGTCTTTGTATATATTTTATAAATTAACTAGAATAATATTGTATAATAGGTGAGAGTTTTAAGAAGTCATTATTAATATTATAACGAATATTTTAATGTAATTGGATGGCTATAAGGATGGCGGAGTCGGCCAGATTTGAGTCCCTTGGTGGGTGTACTCACTGGGAATAACCTTTTGATGGTCCATTTGAAGAAGATGGACAAAGTGGAGAACATTTATAGTGTGAATGCGAGGCGGTAGATCACTTACGACTCAGATACTTCTGACGGGACTTTGCGATCCCGATCGATTTCTCGCGGCTTAGGTTGGCTGTAATTTCTCAGGGGTCAAGATGTAATGGGGATAAGATTACAAAGTATCCAATTTGTCTACGTAGGAGCCTTGGGTCCCCTACGGGGGTAGAAAAAAACTAATATTTAATTACAATTTGAAGTTGAAAATAAAAAACCAAACTGTTTCGGTTTGTAAAAAGTAAAAATACAAACAACTAAAGAGCAAGAATATCACCCGTTATAAATTTTAATTATTTAATACAGTAAAATTAAATATGATATGTAAATATTAAGACACCATTTAATATATAGTATACTTATAAATATGCCTATAGACATGCGAATCTAAAAAAAAAGTCAAAAAAAAAAATATTATTTTTATATGAATACATACAAACATTTAAATAGTTGGAACTTGGAAAAACAATTTTCACTTGATTTCTTTATGTTGTATATGCAATTTATTTTGTTGCCAGGAAATTATTAATTTCCGGTTAGGAAATTTCACCACTGATTTTCTACCATATTATTTAATATGTGGTATTTATTTAAGGATTTGTACTATTTCCTTATTAAAAAAAAATAGTATATAGTTACATAGAAAAATTATTTATAATAAAAAGAGAAAGTGAGTTGTGTGTACAAATAAAATATTTTAAAAGCTCAACGAACTTAAATCGATTAATTTATACTTTGTTTTTTTTTTTTAAATATTGTATTAAAAAGAAATCACTAATCATATAGTGGTATCGTTGTTCTATGCGCATTATTTGTGAAATGCACGCAATGTATAATAATAAAAATTAAGTTTTTTTTAAAATTTATTGTCAAAAATTACCCTTTTATTTAATAAGAAATTGAGTAGTTTTGTATTCCATATGAAGTTATTATTTAAATTGTGATGTGACCGACAATATTCTTTAATTTAAATTTTCTTTTGTAGTATTAATATCTTTCCTGAAATTTTTTATAAATAAAATTTAATTTATTAAGAAATTTTTTTTTAATAATATTTTTGGATATGTACATAAATGCAATTTTATCTACCTGTTGCTTTCTTTTGTATTGTGCGTGGAATGAAAAGAAAATTTTGTAAATTCTTTTATTATACGTTATTTTGGAATTCACTTTTGAATTTAATCTGACGTTCTTCTATTTATAAATTATAATATTAATAGTATAAATATTGTGGAGGTGGTAAGATTTTGTAGAAAGCGCAACAAATAAATATATTGTGAACTCATCGATTTAGTCAGGGCAAATAAATAGACTGGTCATTGTTAGCCACTTGTTGCAGTTTGAGAAATAAAATTGTATTTTCAATACTCAAGTTGAGCATTTGAAATATGTTTGTTTATATATTCAGGAACGAAAAAATAATTAAGTTTGAATAATTTATTTTTGCTATCTACTAGAACTTCCATAGAAAGCCGTAGGTTTCTACAGTTCAAGTTAAATATGAGGAGTTTAATTTTTCGGCCTTGACTCGTTCGTTTCTATTCTGTAGTTGTATTAAGGAATTTTCATTGCTTATTTCTTTGCTATAAGAAATTTTCAAAAAACAAAATATGCATTTTATTTCAAAAATTTAACTCATTTTATTCAATTTATACGAGTAGGTACTTGGAATTAAGATTTAAGTGATTGGATTTAAATAATAAGCCCCTACGACTGAATTAACTTTGTTTTAAGCTAGACAGTTCTCCGTTTGTCAAGTTATAATTCTAAAAATCTTTAAAAACTACCAGTCGTATTTGTTAGTTTTTTTTTTTAATTTTCTTCTGGTTTTCTCTTTTAATTTTTCTCTCTGAAGTTGTCACGCTTTTGTCACTTGAAATAATATGAAAGTGAAATTTATTTTCACATGAAATTATTAATTATGAGTTTATTAAAATATTTTATCATTAGTATCGTGAAATAAATAAAACGGAAAATTAAATATAATTATAATAATTTTATTCATAAATTTTATACTATTTCCGACGTATGTAGAATATTTTATGAATTAAGTGTTTATAATGTAATTGCTGTCAGCTGTTATCGATACATAATTATATCGATTTATTGTTTATTAACTATTAAATTTGTTTTTTTGTATGTATATAGCAAATGTGTGTAGCTGGTGAAAATTTCCAAATAATTTTAAATGTAAGTTTTTCATTAAATTTACATTATAAGTACTTATACACTTGAAATTATAAATGTATAATCTAAGCAAAACTCATAAAATTTATAAAAAAAATGCTTTACTTTCATATATAAAGAAATTATATTGTGTATTATGTATGTTTTCACATACATATGTAAATTAATTTTAGAATACGATGAACTATAAAGTCAATTAGAAGGAAGTTGGCAAACCGCCCATGAAATTGAATTTGAAAATCAAGATAAAAAAATACATAAAAGAGAAAAATTAAAAATCATTTAATAATCTGTTTATATCGATGAGAAGATGAAATTTTAGGCACTTATAAAAGATCATATTAAAAAAATTATAACAATTTTAGTGATTTTTTATTAGAAATATTTGAAATATTGAAAGCATATGTTACAAAAGTATTTTTGTGTTATAAATATGTAAGTACATTGTACATACGTATACAAATGTATTTAGAAGTTAAAATATTATTAGAATACAAAATTTAGTAGCAGAATTTACAATTTAGTAAATAATAATTTGCAATAGTAAAGCAATTATTCAATAAAAAGTATGGGCTGCTTATTGTTTTTAAATTGAAAATGAGTTTGAAAATTATGGAAGACCATACTTTAAATATAGGACGTTTTCATTTTTTACGCTTAGAGGCTGGATCTGATCTAATTCAGAATTGTCAGAACACACTAATCAAATAAAAGAATTTTGAATAATGTGAGAACCTTGATTTTAAAAACGAACACGATGGAACTTATCCTATCAATAAATTTTTTAAATTTGAAGTGTCTAAATAGTAGAGCTCTGTACATTTTAAAACTTTTTTTTAAAATTAAAGACAAATTTTTAATTTACAGCCACAATTTTGTACTTGTTGTTTTGAGAATAAGGACACAAATAACTTCAGAGCTTTAAATTTACAACTTCTGGTCAGCTATTCGCTTAAAAAACGAATAATTGACCGAATAAACTATAATTTTTTTTCTCGAGAAACGAAAGCTAATCTAAAAACAAAATTTGATCGTTAATTTGCCAGCCATTTTTCAATGATTTGAAATAGAAAAATTTTCTTTAATTTCTACTAGTGGTTTGCTTTATACGACGGTATATTTCTTAGTTGATA